GGTGTATAACACTGAGACATGCAAAGTTCTCCACCTTGGGAGGAAAAACCTGCAGCATCCTTATGGGCTCGGCAGTGCTACGCTGGCTAGCACTACGGAAGAAAGAGACTTGGGGGTTATCATTGGCCACAAGATGAACATGAGCCTTCAATATGATGTTGCGGCTAGTAAAGCGACCAAAACGCTGGCTTGCATCCATAGATGCTTCTCAAGCAAATCCCGGGACATCATTCTCCCCTTATACTTGGCCTTGGTGAGGCTGCAGCTGGAGTACTGCGTCCAGTTTTGGGCTCCACAATTCAAAAGCCTCCATAATTCAAAAGGATGTAGAGAAGCTTGAGAGAGTCCAGAGAAGAGCCACACCGCACTCCCTTCTCCCTACAGGGCCAGACTACACTCCATTTCCCAGTAGGGACAAGGTCCCTTTTCCCCAACAAAGCTGGGTCACACCCCTCCTTCCTCTCCATGGGGCCAGGTGAAGCTCCCTTCCCCTCTGCAGGGCTGAGCTCAGGCCAGGCTGCTCCATCCCCTCCTCTGTAGCCAAATGGTGTCACCACGCTGGCCCTGGATCAGAACCACTATCTGGCCCGCAGTTGAACTGTCCATTCAGCGGGGAATGAGGGGAAACACCACTGAACCCCACCCAAGAGGGAAAGAGGTTGAACACCACTGAACTAACCTATTTTTGCTTTGCCCTTGGATGCATGTCAGCCACTGTCTTTTATATCATGGTTTGCTAGGGTAAAGGGGAAAAATTAGGAGTGGTTCCCACTGGAAGTCAAGGTCCCTTACACACTTCTACACATGACTACTTCCTTTTTATTGTGAGCATTTTCCTAGGTGCCAGAAATCTAGCCAACCATCTTTGGTATCAAATGACTCAGCCACCACTTTTAGTATAATAATGTTATGTCCTCTATAACAAGCATATATAGGCCTTTCAATGAAGATCTGAGGGAAGAAAAGTAGCTATATGGATGATGCAAGGAATAATACTCCAGTTGTATGTTCATATTTAATATAAGCCTCATTTTTATAGTTTTTCAATCTGCTAAAGCAGTTCCAGTTAGCCCTAAACTTCACAACTAGGACATCACAGAAGCTGGCCTTGGGCACCCAACTTGGCTTCATTTTACCATATGCATGGTGTTTGTAATTTGTGGAACAGAAAGAAGGAAGTAGCCCTAGTCTGCATTACAGGAGAACAAGGTGAGCACTGTGTAAGAAGAGTTAGGAGGAAACAAAGGAGGCAGTAAATGACTAACTGTGCTGAAAATAAAAGTAGAATAAAAGGAACGGGTCCTTTTGTGTGTGGATATGCAGATGTCGTTTATGGAATTAAGGCAAGGGTAGAAGTAGGAAGAGAACATCCAGACAGCACTGGTTAGTGGCAAGTGAAAGCAAGAGAGGGAGAGGCAAGGTGATAGTCAAGTAAGATTTTAGGATCAACACCATACTTGTGAATACAGGAAAAGAAAAGTTAGAGATGGGGGCAAGGAAAGAAAGCAACGAAAAGGATCTGCAGAGCTGACAGTACTTGCAGCAGCAATTCCAATACAAATAATATCTCCCTGCTACAAAAGCTACTATCACTAGGCTCACAACCTGCACTAAGCCTCAGAGAAGCTGCTGTCTATAGGCAAGTGGAGCACTACTATGCCATGCGCATCACTGCATTCAAGCAGGCTTGGTTCTTGTCTGGCAACAATGCTACAGCTGCCCACATAGCTCTACCCTGTGGCCTGTGGAATTCCCTGTGGCCTAGCACAAGACAGCATGTCTTGTGACCTACAACCCAGTTTATCTAAAGCAGGGGTGGGCAAAATGCAGCCCAGGGGCCGGATGCAGCCCCCCCCACCAAATTAAGAAAGTTAATATTTATCTGTCCCTGGGTGCCTCTCATGCAGCCCTCAATGGCTTGCCAAAACTCAGTAAGTGGCCCTCCGCCCAAAATAATTGCCCGCCCCGATCTACAGCCACCTCTTCCGAGACTGATGGTATTTATGCAATTCACAGACTCTACTGCATGACTTGAAAATTAGATCTGCAATAGGACACATCTTGCCACTCCACTTGCAACTACACAATAGGCCTGGAGCATCTTAGGAGACTTGGCTACCTTTGTTATTCTTAGAGACTCCACTCAAATCAGGGAGGCCAGCCTGTGGGAAATTTAGTCCTTAAATGCCCAGTAGGTGAACAGAGGACTTAAATTACCCAGGATGTCTACCTGGCAACTTTTATCAGCAGTAAATCCATATTTTTTCTGAAACTGTACAATTCTATGAAAGTCTCCAAATTTTCCAAGTACTTGATAGCATAAAACATAACACCTGGAGTTACACAAACCTTAGCAGCTATGTAAAGTGTGAGTTAATACCTATTCACCCAAGCCACTCTACCCAACCCAATTAAAGCTCTATGCAACTTTCTTACGGGACAAAATTATCTTTTAAATTATTTCGATTGTAAACTGGAGGGCAGACATCATAAACTTATTTGAGGCAGGGGCTGTTCCAGTTACTGTAACCTGCAAAACAGGAGTTCTAGAAGCCCTAGTGAGCTAGAAGACTTATCTTCTAGGACAGAAAGGATCTCCACCTATGTAACTGAGCAGTATAGGTACATCCAGTGAGTGATTTATGATACCAGGCAGCACAGCACCAAGACACCACAATATTCTGCATGGGTACCTCTTAAACTGGAAGCAGTATTACTGCCTTAATGTGGCACTCCATGCTAACATAGCTACATATTCCTTCCAGTTTGTGAGGTAGTGCAGATGACACTGTGAAATGTGTCAGCATAGCACCAGAACTGCAGAAGACTTCCACAGACACAAAACAGCTAGCTACAAGATTTTATTTTAGATCGGGGTGGGCAAAATCTGGCCCGCCAGGCCATTCTATCCAGCTCACAGGGCCCCTAAAAAATTTAGAAAATAAATACTTATCTACCCCTAGCTGCCCGTCATACAGCCCTCTAGGGCTTGCCAAAACTCAGTAAGCAGCCCTCCACTCAAAATAATTGCCCGCCCCTGTTTTAGATGCTCCTAATTTTGGAGTTCCTTTGGCAGTATACAAGCCCAAGTTGGTATGAGGCTTATAAAATACTTCAGGTTGCACAGTGCTTCATATCAATAAACTAAACAACTTGGATAGCTATGAAGTTTCTCAGGCCTGAGTAACAATGCATTTTCTACATTACCTCTGCATTCCCCTCATATCTCTCTCTCTCGCACGTGCACACACAAAATCACTCACTCTCTCTCTCCCCCCCCCCAGAAACCCAGGAAAGGAAGGTTTACCTCTCATTTGCCTCTCCTGTTGCTCCTTCTCCTTCTTGGCTTGGATGGCAAGAAGTCGCCTGCTCTTCACAGCACTGATCATATCATCAGCTTCTATTTCCACCCGGGGCTCCATCTTCATCATCTCGTTTTTCTTCTTTTCATTCCTGCCCACTGCGCTCTCATCTTTCCCATTCTCCTTGTTCTTGGCCTCCATTTCTTTCCGCTTCTGCTTTTCTGCTCTCTTCTTGTCATTCTCTTCTTTCAGCATGGCTAGACGCTCCTTCCATAGCTCAGCTGACATCTGCTGTTTGGTCTCCACATGGTCCTGCACCGAGTAAGTCATCAGAATCCGGTGGCAGAGTGCTGTGAGTATCTGCAGCTTCTCCTCTGGTGTCAGCTCAAAGAACTCCGATGTCTCCAGCTTCTCCAGAAACTCATCCTGTACCTCATTATCTTCAAAAGTGGCTGAATCCTTGCTCTCATCTACAGTATCAGAAACCTCACTTTCCTCCTGTACATCTGACTTGCGTAGACACAGACGTACCAGCTCAGAAGCGGAATGCAAAGTAAGGGGTATTTCAGAGAGCTTCATTCCCAACTCAGCATAATCTTCAGCTATTTCATCCTGCAGCAAGGTCTGCAGAAGAATGACCAACACCCGGTTCAAATAAAGAAAGCCCCCCTTCTCTGCACACAGGGCTTCCATCAAAGAGACTGCTGTTACGGGGTATTGATCATCTGGCATCAACAATCCTGAATAGCAGCTGAGGAATTCTACCACCACCGCCACATCCCCAAAGAGTGTATTGGGAAGTCCTTCTGGAGTATCCACCAACCTAAAAGCTGGCAAGTTTTTCCCTTTAAGATCTTGGTCCTCAAACCTCTTCTGCTTTTCCAGTTTTTCCTGCATCTCCTTTTCCTTCCGCTCTTTAGCTCTCTCCTTTAGTTTCTCCTTCAGCTTCTCCCGTTTCTTCTTCAGGTATTCTTTGCGCTGCTCCTCTGTCATGGATGCCCATTTCTTTTTGTGCTCGAGGAGTTCATAGCGCTTCTGTACTATTCCTCGCAGCTCTTCGGGAAGGCGGGCACGGTCCTCATTGGAGAGCAGCCGGGCGGTTTTGGAGATGACACAGGACAGAGCACTTTTTTTATCCTCCCGGTCTTTGTTTTCCTTGTAATAGGCAATGAGGTGGAGGGCAGCAGGAGGCAGATGTTTCTGGGGTTTGTTGGAGGACCTGGGAGTCCCTGCTGAGTTCCTGGGAGTCCTAGACACCTTAGGAGTACCTTTGGCCATGTCCAATAGTGTCATTTGTTTCATTTTCATTTTGGGATTTTTCAAACCCTTTCGGGGGGACTTTGACTTCCCAGGAGATTTCTGTCCATTCAGAACCCTTTTTCCTTTCTGCTTCTTATCCAAGGATTTATCAGTGCCCTTTCCCAGTCTACTCCTCTTCGGTACATGGAAATTAGAGCCCAGTTTACCTGGAGACACAATTTTCATCACTTCCTCCAACTCCTCCTTGGGAGATTTGGGGTTCTTAGAGTTTTTCACTTTTAGTGGAGAGCCAATAATGGATTTCTTCAAATGCACGTGACACCAGAGTGTAGGGCTCAGTGGCTGGCCCAGTGAAGACCCATCAGTTTTGGATTTCTTGGAGGGCTTTCTGTCAGGTGACCCAGAGTTCTTCCTCTTGGTTGAGGGATTGAGTGTCATGTACTAAAATTTAAGAAGAAATGTTATTGTAATACCAATTTAAGTAGGGATAATGTCTGTAAAAACTTTCTATTGTAAAACATGTAATTGTCACATTCAGTTCTCCATTAACATTTCGCACACACCACACTGAGACAAGTCAACTTCCAAAATGCTGGCAAGTGTCTCTACAGGTATAAAGTTTAATAGCCCAGTTCAGGAATATTTAGTATTCACTTGTAAAATGTTATGGGGGTGGGAGAAGAAGAAATGCAGAAAAGCCTCTTTTTGTAGATTAACCTGCATGAAAGTTTGGTTTTTGTTTTGTTTTAGTTTTTTTTTTTTTTTTTTTGTGGGGGGGAAGGGAGGTGGAAAACCCTGAAAACTTGCAGTAATAAAACTGCACATTATAAATGCAATCGTTAGAAATTAGGAAATAAGTTTGGCTTTCTTTGCAAAAGAATTGTGCCATATAAAGCATAAATGGCAGGAGGTACAACCACTTTTAGATATTAACATATATCTAACTGCATATTGAACAGGTGCAGAAAACAGGTGCACACAATGTGATCAGGTTCTCAAAGTAATGACAATGTTTCCTAGCTCCTTAATATTAATGTACTGCATTTACTCAAATACAAAATGAGGTCACCCCCTGCCCCCAATTTAATATGGGGGGGTGCTCTTAGACTGAAGTACAGGGAAGGAGGAACAGCAGCTACAGCTCTAGCCCTGAGCCCAGGATTGGAACCACACTTCCTTGCCTCACCACCTATCCCTGCAGTTTCTGCTGCCCCCTTTTATCCCCCAACCCCTTTACCTTCAAATTTCAGTTCCAACTCAGGTCCTGCTCCAGCACAGAGCACATGCTGCCCCCACGCAACCGTGGTCAGAGCACCAGCAGCCACTCTAGCCCCAAGCTGAAGCCAGGGCCAGAGCTGTCATCACTCATGCATAACTGGGCAGGGGGTGGAGGCAGCATGTACTCCATGCTGGAGCAGGGTCCCAGGCAAAGCCAGAGCCGCAATGGGAAGGCAAACAGCAGGAGAAGGCAAGCAGCAGGGTGCAGGCAGTGATGGGGTGAGAGGCAGGTACATGCAAGGAAGAGCAGGTGCCAGGGGGTATAGGACCCTACTCCAAGGGGACAGGGGAAAGCAGGCAAGCACTAGGGGGCAAAGTATGTGTGTGTGGGGAGGGAGGAATGACAGGCTCCAACAAATGCAGGCACTTCAGCACAGGGAGCAAGTATAGGACACAAGAGCATGAGTATGGGGTGTGGAGGGCAGGCAGCAAGGGGCCAGAGTTAGGCTAGTTGACTTCTCCCCCACCAGCTCCCTCCACCCCCCATCCCCACCACCACCACTGCTTGGCCTGCTGCACTGGTGGTAGGGATAAATTAAAGATGAATCTCCAAAAACTACATTTTGTACATGGAAAATTATAAGAAGTTTATAAAATTTTACACATCTAGAATCTAATTATTGGGGGGGTCATCTTCAATTCAGGTAAATATGTTAATAAAAGAGAAAACATTTACTTTTTCCTCCTTTTTTTTTTTTTAATACTCTATACTAGAGTTTTACTGAAGACTGCTCTGCAGAAGGAAGTGAGTATAGATTTGCTCCTTGAAAATAAGGATTCTAGGTTGATTCTATGTTGAAATCTGTTACAGTATCTTGGGATAGACACAAAAAAACACTTTTATTCTATACTTGGGCGCAACCATCAAGCCACTGAAGAACACTGACCCTAGAGTTACATTGGTTATTTTTTTAAAGAAGTTATTTTTAGTTAAAGTTGCGTATAATTAAAAAATTGCCTCAAAAAATTATCATGTTTTACATATTTCTTAACAAGGAGAGAGAAACCCTATAATGGAGAAACTACTGATAGCTGACTGGGCAATAAGAGCAGTCAAATGTTATTGCAAAACAGATCTTTTTCTGTCAAGTTCTAGGCATTATTTCACCAACATTTACACAGCTTGCGAATAGTTATTTTGTAGAAAACTTAATCTCTTTAGCTCCTAAAGTCTTGCCTACACTTGCCAATTCTCCAGTCTGCCACCCTATTTCCCTTCTTAGCATTTGTTAGTTATGTTTCTAAGAAACTGACCATTCTAATGAAAATGTCTCCATTATTTCAACAGATGGACTTTATTAAGGTCAGGACTCCCCAAATATTTTAAATGAAATTTAAAACCATTTGCAGATTCAGTTTTATTCTGCTTCCTAGTAGACAGTAACTAGAAATGGCAGTGACCAGTATTATAGAAGCCTCCTCCTGCAGGAAACAAAGCTTTTAATGCACTAGATTTTGATGTTTTCTACTAAATAGAGAACATTATAGGCCATCTGTTGGCAACGTGTTTGGTAGCTGCCAAGTATTGCCAAAAGAAGCTAAAAATTGTAAGCCTGCAACTAAGGCAAACTCTGGATTAGGAATTAGGTAGAAAGTAATGAGAAGGGGGGCACAAGACTGGAAGTAAGGCTACCCAAGACCCATTTACAGTTCAGCCATTAACATGTTGTGTGACCTTGGATAAATTTCATCACCTTTGCCTCAAGTTTACCTTACTCTGTAAAGCACTGCTTCAAACCAGAATTTTATACAAGATCGAAATAGTCTCTCTGCATGGACTAACATGCAAAACCAAAGTATGCGTCTTCTCAAGTCAGTATCATAACTAGAAAAATAACTGAATAACTTATAGATTAACAGATTCATAGATGTTAGGGTCAGAAGGGACCTCTGTAAGTCATTGAGTCTGACCCCCTGCCCCAGGCAGGAAAGAGCCCCAGCTAGATGCTTGTTCAGTGTCCTCTTGAAGACCCCCAGGGCAGGGGAGAGCACCACCTCCCTTGGGAGCCCATTCCAGATTCTAGCAACCCAAACTGTGAAGAAGTTTTTTCTAATGTCTAACCTAAATCTGCTCTCCATCAATTTCTGGCCATTGTTCCTAGTTACTAGTAAACAGAGCATCTCCTATTCCCTGCTGCCCTCCCCCAATGAATTTATAGGCAGCCACAAGATCACCTCTCAGCCTTCTCTTGCAAAGGCTGAAGAGATCTATGTCCCTCAGTCTCTCCTCATTATACAGTATACATTAACTTGTTATACAGTAACTTGCATTACTGTATAAAGGTTACAGCATTATTACTTGTCCTACACAGTAAACTTCAGACACCTCAAAATAGCTTTGCTAGTTACTTGCATTCCTTGCCTATAAAGCAAAGAAAATGTAGCATTGCTAAGTGTTATGTTAAAGTGCCCTAGCACAAGACATTAGGGAACAAAAGTAAGTCAAAAACAAACACTAGGGCTGCGTGAAACAGTACTGTTTCATTTCTACTTCCATTTCACCATTTCACAGGGACAGTATTTCATTTTGCTGTTTCGAAGCACCGTTCTGTTTTGTTTGGTCTAAACTGTCTATCTGTTTCAATGCTGTTTCAACACATTTTGATGTTTCACCCATAGGCTATAATGGGGAATCATGAAAATGCCTATAACTTTGTCACTTCTTGCCTGATTCGGATGAAAATTGCAGGTACAGTAGCCCCTTCCGAGTGCAAGACGACAGGTGCAGGGGGTTTTTTGAAACTGCACCTCAAACTGTTCAAAGCAAAACTAGTATCACTTGCTGGCAGCGGAAGCCCTGCTGTGATCCCGCATGCAGATCTGGGGAAGAGTCCCACTTCCCCTGCGAGGAGTTTGGGGAGCCGAGCGGCTGCCACTGGCCACAGCCTGCAGCAGAAGCCTGCTGAAACTCCACTCACAGATCAGGGGCCCATACCCCCCTGGAAAGAGCTGGGGAAATGATCAGAGAGCTGGGGAATCGAACCGGGAGCTAGACATCAATATCACAGCAGTCCTTCCCCCTCTTCCCTCTCCTTAGTTTCTGTTTAGCTGCAAGCAAGCTGGCTTCAAAACTCGAAATGTTTCAAGTGCCCTCATTTCAATTTTGCTGTTTTGAGCTCGAAACAGCTTTGAAACGAAACACCTGTTGAAATGTCGCACAGCCCTAACAAACATGGTGCCTAATAAAATTTTATTTTGTTCTCTTCAAGAAGCATTTACCAGTCCCCAATACTTAAAATTGCCATTTAAGTCCCCCATTTAACTACCATTTAAGTCCCCATTACTTAAACTGCCACTTAAACAGCATTGTTTTAGTCCTAATTAAAGAAGGATTCTGCATCATGACAAACAAGTCATTTCTAAATGGCAACAGACTTTAAAACTGAATTCTGGAAGAATAGGAAAGGAAGTGAAGGACAAAAACTTTTGAAAGCTACCACATCATTAGTCAACAAGTACACAGCTTCATTTTAAATTAATTTTACAATGTATCAGAAACCCACTGGATTCTAGACTTTTCACTTCACTCACTAAGACATGTTGGGCACTGACAAACATGGGGAAAAAAACACAACAAAACAAAAAACAAAACAATGCTTTACTGGAAGAGGCAACATGTTAGTCCAACCCAGCTACGCAGCGTCTGTATCGACTGGGTGCTTCAGCGAGGCTTTCTGGCACTTTTATCTATAGCTGATTGAATCAGCTAAGTGCCAGAAAGCCCTGCTGAAGCACCTGATCTATACAGACATTTGGCAAGCGGGGTGCAGCTAACACAATGCCTCTTCTGGGGATGCATGTGCTTGACATGAGGGCATACCAAGCTTGAAGTAAAGCGTCATTTTGTTTGATATTTTTTTCCCCGTGTCTGTAAGCAACCATTAAGACCTAAGCACGGCCCACTTAAGCAACGAACTTGAACCAACTTTTTCAAAACTAGGATTCTTAGATGCCCAGGTTGAACTGCCTTAAAAAGGAGCAATTTTCAGAAAGTGTAGGTCAGTTACCCTGGGCAAACTACGCTTTTTTCAGGCATCTCAAGTGAAGTCTCCAAAAACCCACCAGTTGCACAAAAACCTTAGCTAACAATTCTTTCCCACTCCCACCCAGCACCACCCTTCAACCAGAGATTTAGATGAATTCTTACCTTATGTGGATCAAGTAGAAAGTCACTAAATTTACTGGGGAGAGAATATTTCTTCACTAACTCATCCTCTACCACCCATGGGGCATTCTCGCCTGTGCCAGCCCGCAGTGCATTATGACGGATGAAATACCTCAGGATCTCCTTGTTGGGAGGACGTTCAGTACGGACTAAGCTATCGGCTGGCACATTGCTAATTATCTTTGAAATAAAGAAAAACAAGGATTGATTATTAAATGTTTTCAATTCATATATTCTCTGCAGGTTTATGCCACACAGCATAAGAATGCAGCCAGGGTCTGCAACACATCCACTTTTCCAGGAAATATCCATTCCTCTCTTTTCAAAGCCTTCTCCTCCTGTCACCTCAAAATAAAATAAATAAAACTTGCAGGATGGAGATATTTGAGAAAAGTTGGTGGGAGGTTTGGTTAACTAAAACTATCACTAGAATATTTGTTGCAGACATCTTGCCAAAATGTATCACTTCATTTTGACAGCTGTGAAAAGCCCTACCTTGCATCTGTACACCCACACAATACTCATCTTCTCTTAAAGAAGGGAGAAACCAGAGACCAAAAGGAGCAATTCTACAGCTGTTATCATTAAGTGAAGATTGTTGTTGCTTTCCTACTGGATTATGATCACTGAACAGCTAAATGGAAAACACAGAATCACAGAACCAGAAGGGACCAGTACGAGCATCAAGTCCGGTCCCCTGCCATGGGCAGGAAGTTATTGGGCTCAGATGAGCTCAGCAAGGTGCCTGTCTGGCCTTGCCCTGAACACCTCCAAGGAGGGTGATTGCACCACCTCTGCTGGAAGCATATTCCAGATTCTGGTGACCCTTACAGAGAAAACGGTTTTCCTCATATACAACCTGAATTTACCCTCTATTAGTTTATGCCCATTGGTCCTCATCCTACCTTGAGGTGCCCTCCTGAATAGTTTCTCTCCTAGTTTTTGATGCTCCCCCCCCGAGGTACCTGTAGGTGACCATCAAGTCACCTCTCAGCCTTATCTTCCTCAGGCTGAACAGGCCCAGTTCCCAGAGTCACTCCTCATAGGGCGTGCCCGTCATGCCCTTAACCATATGGGTGGCCCTTCTTTGTACCCTCTCAAGCTTATCCATGTCCTTCTTGAAGTGTGCCGCCCAAAACTGGACAGTTCTCAGCTTAGGTCTCACCAATGCTAAAAAAAAAAAGAGGGAGAAGCACCTCCCTGGATCTATTGGCCACCTGGTGGCTGATGCACACCAGAGTTTTATTGGTCCTTTTGGCAGCTTCACCACACTGTTGAGTCATATTCATCTTCATATTCAACATGCAGAAACCTAAAACTTCCTAGAGCGTCTCCTATGTTTATTAACAAGTAATAAACCTGACTATAATAGCAGTTACTCTTGGTCAACTTACACAGTTAACAAATCACTGGCCATGGCTCATTTACGAAGTGGTAAGTCACAGATCAACCAGTTAACAACCAGCTGGCTCACGAAGGCTAAAACTGGATCTTTCAAGCCTGCATCTTAAACATAATGCTGAACATTGTTAATGGAAACCTCACTGCTAGAGGCAGAGTAGATCTACATGGGACAGAAATACCCAGCTAATAGCGTAAGTAAAATGCTGTGCAAGAAGTGTCTTTACTGCTTCTGAGGTACAAACTATATTATTCAAAGTCAGCTTGGGGATCTCTGCTTGGTCCTGTACTGTACCATTGAGAGATATGCATATGGATTATTTAATCATACTTTTCTGTTCATATGCAATATGCAATTCAAGTAGTCACCTCACCTTTTCTTCATTTTTCAGTTTGACATCATACTTGTGTGGCAGGAATTTAGGTGGAACCCATTTCTTCTCTTCCTTCTTCAGAGAAGTGGGAAGCTTCCGAGGGGATCTGCGTGCCCGATCACCTAATTAAGCAAGAATAAGGCAGTTAATAGTGTGGTGTTCAAAAACAGAGAGACCAAAGTGTGCTGCTACAGATGATGCTTGGACCTCTACCACTCCTTTGATGTCCCACAACCTTAGCCTCTGATCAGACTAGAGCACTAGAATACGTCAAACTCAGTTTCGGACACTGTGAAACAAAAGATTGAGAACACCTTCCAGAACAGAAAGCCTTAAAATATGAGGGGGCACCACTTAGAAAAACATATTTAAGCTCATGTCCAGAGTGGTACGCCTTTATGTACAAATTAAAAAAAATAAAAAATAGCTATCTACAAGGCAAGGCCTTTACACCTCCTGAGATTCCTGTACCAGTCGCTAATAGGTGGAGGAACTGATCATAGGAAGGGGCTCTTGACAGAAGCTCTCAATGTTTCAATATGCCACTGCTTCAGGTCAACTAGTTATGCCTACCCAGGGCAGCAACCTTAAGAGGGGAGTAGATTGACTTTTATTAGTAAGTGTTTAAGATTGGGAATCCAAAAAAAGATGACAAAGCCAGTAGGGAAAATACAGATCACCCGAGCGAGGGACTAACAATAGAGGGATGGGGGTGAGTTCTACATCACAGTAAAGACAGACTGAGATTAAATGGCACTGAGATAAAAGTTTCTTGATCACAGACTGTTATCCCTGCTAGCTTTTAACAAGGAACTATCAATATAGCTGATGCATTTGATCAAACAAGTGATATTTGGGGAAATAAAAATAATCTAATTTTAATGGTTTTGCCCCCTCCCATCTAATACAGCAGTTCTTAATCTGGAGTTTCTAAAAAAAGGGGTTTGCAGGCAGTATTTTCCACGTCAATTCATGTTCTGAAAAAAGCCGTAGTCTAAGTGTTCAAGTGTTTCTAAAAGGATCACTTCTTTTCAAGAGCTGATGTTGAATCCATTAACCAAGTAACCTTACTACAAATGTTAATATATTCAAAGAAACAATGACAACTCCACCCAGAGTAAACAGAGGCTTATTTCTTGGCTGGAGAAGCATATGCTCCTCCTTAAAATACCTTCTCAATAAAACCTGACTGTAGAAAATGAATCTCTAGATTTTAATCTTTACATTCATGCCACAACTCAAACAAGAACAGTAATATCAGTATTCCTGAACTGAATAATTATTTCCTTAAATGCACATAAGATAGTAAAAAGTTTAAGAGTCTTATAACCAAATGATAAAAGTGTAAACTGCCATGATGTAACTGTTACATCTTCAAATTCTGGTAGAGATAGAAGTGCTAAATCTTTGCCATTTTTACACTGGCTCATTCAGAGTTAAAGCTACAGCAATTCAGATAACCTAGGGGCATGCAGAGGTAACAATTATACCATACAACTAAAGCACCCTCTGGACCTGAAGCTCCCCCTCCCCTTTTAAATAGACTAAAAGTTATGTTTGCTTTTTATGGCTATCAACAAGTTATAAAATATTACACCTGGAACAGAAACAGACTTGCTTATGTCACTGTTTTTCTTTTTAAGTAATAGTACTGTATTAAGTACTGACCAACAGCTCGAAACACCTTAGCTACTGAAGGGCATTGGCTATCCATCAATACCAAGCAACGACTTATCCATGCAACATTAGCATTTAACAACACTGAAATGAATATAAAGGGGGGGGGAATAAATAAATAAAAGATTGCATTACTATCTACCCAGAAGGCAACTGAGATCTGATAAACAAAAGTCTGGAGGAAAAAAGTACCTATGCTTAGGTTTCTTCACCAGACAGACTCAACTGAAAATCATGCTTTATAGGTTCCTTACGTTTAAAAGAAAAAAGGTATGCTATCTACAACATAACCACACAGCAAGAGAATCAGTCTCCAACAACCAGCTCTCCAAAGCATTATTTAATCTCTACAGATTAAAACACCAGCCTTTAAACTCTGGCAAAAACAGGCCAGCAGTAAAGATTAGATTACAAAGCACAAGTATAATGGGCTCCCTACACACTTGATAAGTAAGCAGCCTCATTCTGCATTAGCTTTAAGTTTCCAAATAAGCCAGAAGGGACTGACCCCAGAACTGCACATTACAGAATTTCTTGCCTTGAGTTGAAAGGCACAAACAACCAGAGCAGAGACAACAAGGCACCTGAGAAGAGATGGATCTTGGCAAAGCATGCAGATGGAAAAGGTTCAGGACACACAACTCAGGTTTTGCCTTTTGTTCACTTTTGTTTTGCAAATATCTGTAAGCAGTTCAGCAAGCACCAAAAGTGATATTTTGGTTCTGATTCTAGTCACTGAGGCAGCATTACCAAATTATGTCATCATTGAATAAATACAATGGAAGTTGTGAGCCAGACACAGCAAGTCTGAAAAAGCTGCATTAGAAAAAAATTTGAATGCCTGAACGTTAAGACTTGTTAATGGAATAGATATCAACAGTGTATATAACAGGTTCATATTTAAGAATGAGATAGAACCAGTGATTCAGAAGACCTGGGGTCTACTCCTGGCTCTGCCACTGGTCTGCACATGGCTTTCAGCATATCACTTCTGTGATTCCAGTTTCTTAGAAGGAAAACCAAGAAACTAGGGGTGCACCAATAAAGATTTTTTTGGCTCATACAGACAGCCAGTTATTAACCAGCCATATCAGCAGATACTGATCGGATAACCAACATGCAGCCCAGCAACTTGGAGAGCAGCTCCCTGCTTACAAGTCTGTGAGGGGGGAAGGGGTGGGGGCAGAGCAGATCAAGGCCCCAGCAGCAAAGGAAGGAGTGGGGCAGGAGCAGGGGCTGCCCAATCAGCGCAATGAACACGAACCCACTGGGAGTGGGGCAGAGCCACGGGCAGCTCATTCAGGGGGTGCAGAGGGTTCAAGGGGCGGGGCAGCTCCCCACTGCAACACCCACCCCCAGGGGAGGCACTGGGGGCATGTGCCCCCCAGCTTTGTGCGTGAGGAGAGGGCAGTCTGTCTTCTGTGGGCTTGGAGCCAGGAGTTGTGCAGGCCTCTTCCCAGCAGGGGGGGGCTGGGCTGGGACTGTGCTCCAGGTGGGTGGCAGCGACTCTGAGAGGGTCAGCTACAGAGTGGGCTATGGCCACATTCACCATGTTCACCCCTCCCAGGCTCACATTCTTTGCCCTGGCTGGACAGCATCCGACCCTGCCTCTGCCCCACTCCCTCCCTCACCATGCGGGCCTCTAGCTGCACCCCCCAAATCCCTCTCACCCCCACTTCCCCGCCAGACTTACTGACTGGACATTGCTGGGCTGCATTACTAACATCTGTATGGGCAGCACAGCACAGATAAAAATGCACATGCATGCTTAATATTCAGTACATAATTGTGTACACTTCCCATTTTTATTAAGGGACTATTCTGTATGGAATTAAGTACTTGCATAACACTCTGATTTGAAGACTTTGAAATGTTAAACTGGATTTTCTTCTTTGGGAAGGGGGCATCTGCAGTTGACGAACAGATTCAATTAAACCAATCACCTCAAATATATCAGAACCAACATTAGGGGAACAATAAAAATCTTTGTAGTCTTGACTCCTGACATAATCATGATGCCATCCCTCTTATAAATGGAATTGCATGTTTCTTAACCAGTGCCTTCAAAAATTAAAATATTTAGTTTTGTGCTCTGCAATATTTTGTTCAATGAAATTCTGACAAACGCTAAAATGTTATTCTGAATTGTATCAATGTATTATTTTAAAACAGAATGAAAGCGATGTTCCATACTGGCAAGAAAATTAATTACTCCTCAGTGAGAACATCTCCTATATTCTCCTTTCCCAGTAGGCATTAGCCTTATTCCAAGCATTACTAATGCAGCAGTTTATTGCTTCACAGATTCAGAATTCAGAGTCAGAGTATTTCCCTATATATTAACACTGTCACAGACAATAAAGGTCCATTACAACGGTTACCACAACATTTACATGGTGAACAATTCAAAGCATGAGTTTCCCATTAATACAACTGCTCAGGATTTGCACAGAAATTCTGTAGCAGATTAAGTGTTGAATTAGAAGTTGGAAGCTAATTCCAGTCCTGGTTTTGCAAGTAACTTACTTTGTCACTCAAGAAAAGCCATTTCACTTTATTCCTCAGTTTACTCATCTGTGGCCCCCTCTACACATTTACAGGTATTGCACAATTAACTGGTTAATTGTGCAATTAACTTAAGACCAGCTACACATGCAAAGTAGCTAGCATGCCAGAAAAAGCTCCAACCAGCTATAAAGTTAGACCTCGAAAACGTATACTAAATTTATATCTGGTTGCTATCAAGCTTTAACTTTTGCTTGCAGCCACCTGCCAGCTGACAAGGCTCCCAACCTCAGGGGTGCACCATGCCCAACCAGGGCTGGATGTTTTGCAACTATGGAGCCCCAGCAGCTGCAGACTCTGGTTCCCGTCAGCACAAGGACCAAGTCCTACAGCTGTGGATGCTGGGTGCCAGAAGCCAGCTGGGTCCTGGCAGCCAGGGTGTAGCTGCCCTGGGGGTGCATGAAAACCCTGGACCTGGGGGACCAGGGCTGCTTTGATCTCAGGGGTAAGTGAGGCACCCTTGCAGTTGGAAGCCCCTCAACTGCTTCTTGCTGGTGCAAGAGGAGCCCAGGATTGGGTTCCCCCTGCACCAGCAATAAGACATGATGGAATCTCATGCGTAATCCCACAATCATGCATCCTGTCATGCACATATGGCATGGCAGGAGGCATGATTGTGTGGATTGTGCATTAGATCCCATCTCACCTTTACCTGAATATCTAGAGAGAGCATGTGAAATGGATATGATACTTACATTATACTCACCTTCAAGTACTACAAGAGTTATTTTACATTTCTGAAGTGCATGTTAAATATAAGTGCCTTTATGATAAGCTTTGCTATTTAGCCTGATTTGAGCTTGCTGAGGTTTCATTCAAGACATTTTCTAACAGCCCCTATTAAAAATTATTATAAAATAGTCCCTTTACAAAGCTAATTTTTTTTGCATAGAACAACAACAAATAGGAAGTTCCTGTGGCCTAGACTACCGACACATTTTTGCCAGAAGTACTCCATTTCTGATGGGAAAAATCTAAGGTATGCTTAGACTCAAAGCCCATCTGTGGCAACAAAATACTCCATTTTGTTAGGGTGACAGTATTTAGATCTTGGGGAGCATTGGATTTACAGTTGAATAAAAGGCTTTAGCCCAGGGGTGGGCAAAATACAGCCCGCAAGGCCGTATCCGGCCTGCAAGGTCATTTTATTCAGCCCCTGAGGCCCCTAAAAATTTAGAAAATTAGTATCTATCTGCCCTTGGTTCCTGCCAAAAATTACAGGAACCAGTGGCAGTAGGAACCAGGGGAAGCCTGGTGGGCTCCCACAACAGCAGGGCCCGCCCAGCCCCAACCCCTGGGACCACGTGGCTGCCCCGTACCAGAACCTCAGGGGGGAGGACAAAGGAACCCACGCAGGGAAGAAGCCTGGGGAAAATGTGGTCTGGGGAAAAGCTGAGCATGGGGAAGAGGCAGCCCCCTGCCCGCCCTGTGGCCAGCACTCCATGCTGCAGCTGCTTGCAGCCCACCTGGGGCTGCCTATGCCTGCTGAGGACAGCCCCATGCAGGCTGCAAGTAGCTGCAGCAGGGAGCGCCAGCCACAGGGCAGAGGAAGGGCTGCTTTTCCCCAGGGTCCTTCCCTGCTCTTTCCCGGTGCAAAGAAAAGCGGCCCTTCCCCCATTCCGCAGCCAGTACTCCCTTCTGCGGGGCGGGGGAGGGGGGCCCACCGGGCAGGCAAGGAGCCATTTTCCCACCCCTGTGCTCAGCACCAGCTTGTAACCCGGCCCCGCACCGGCTCCAGGCTCGCTTGTCAGGGCTGTGCACGACAATAGCAGCTGCAGCCCCCCCCCCACTTGCTGCACCGGGCAGTGTTTGCCACTGCCGCCTATGGGCTGCCCAGCGCACGAGCTCCGGGCGAACACTAGAGGCAAACGCTGCCCAGGATGGCAAGCAGGGGGTCCACAGCTGCTGCCGCCATGCGCAGCCCTGACGGGCGAGGCCAGAGCCAGCAGGGCCCAGGCTGGCAGCAGGGCTGGGTTACAAGCTGGCGCCAAGCGTGGGGAAAAGCGGCCCCTCGCCTGCCCCATGGCCAGTGTCCCCCAGTGCAGCTGCCTGTGCCTGCTCACGACAGCCCTGTATGGGCTGCGAGTGGCTGCAGCAGGGAGCACCGGCCACAAGGCAGGCGAGGGGCTGCTCCCCCCCCCACTCAGCACCAGCTTCTTCCCTACCGACGAGCAGGGGGTTGGGGCTGTGTGCTGACCCCCATCCCGTACCATGGGGCTAGGGGGCGCTGGGAGCGAGGAGGTGCGGAAGTTAGTGGGAGCACTGGGTCCCAGCCAGGAGGGACTCTATGGAGCTGCACCAGCTCCCCCCTCTACCTGCTGGTGCAGCCCAGCCTGGCTCCACAGACCCCTGCCAGCTTGTGCCCCGCTTCAGGCCCCACCGGTGCTGGCCCTGTGACACTGGTCTCAAGACATTGGGACACTGGTCCCAAAATGGTGACCAGGGGGCAGGGCACCTGTCAAGGGGCAGGGCTACCCATGCAGCCCTCGACAGCCTGCCAAAACGGGGTAAGCAGCCCTCCGCCCGAAATAATTGCCCACCCCTGCTTTAGCCTGTGGCCAGCCAGCAGTGCTGCTAACCATAAGGCAGAATGATATATTAAAAGTAACATTGCAAGACACTTAGGCAAGCATTTTTCTAACAAGGTCTCAGTGTTGTAAGATATATAGCTCATTAGCTGGTGGGCTACATCCTGTTCTCCTTAGCCATTGTTGGAGATTAGCAGAAGACAGACCTTGGAGATGAAAGAGCCAGCAAGAAATGGCAAGTGACCAGAGAAAGCAGAGGTTAAAATCTTAGGCACGTGCTCATAGCAAAAAGACATGTAAATGAGTGAAATGCATAGGTAATTCCATGCTAATGAAACAAACAGTAAACAGAGGCGGAGCTTGAGATAGGAGGGAATATGGGTGGAACAAAGGAGGGACAAAAGGTGGAGTAAATGTTAATAAGCATGAACCAAGGTGTATAAATGTGGAAAGAACTAATGTTAGTGGCTGCTACCCGGTTTCTCTGGGAGCTCACCCAAAGCCATCTCCACTTTGAATAAAGCTGTTGCTAGCAATGTGTGCTGGTGTTTGCTCTCTGAGCAACTGAATCATCTCCCTAGTTGTTGGGCGCCGCACTGAGTCAGGATCTAACACATTTCACTACCAGAGTTACTCCCCTTATTAAGCAGAACAAAGCTTGAACACTCATGGTGTCATAACATGTGTCAAAGAGGAAATTTGTTCTGTTTAATTTTGAAACATGTATAATATGAACAGGTCACACTGATGTTTTCTCATTTTCTGACCAGATCTTAGTTTGAAGGAAACAACTAGTTCTGAACGTCTATAAGAAAGGTGAGAAACTGTCAGATACTGAATATACACTGGAAAGCTGCACAGTTCAGAGACAGGCTTGGTTGGTTTTCCGGAGGCACCACAAAGGGAAGAGAAAGAGAGTCACAACAGAAATTAACAATTCAACATAACCTTTACTTTTGTGTGTTGCTGCTATCCATGGTTCTTCTGTATTTCTTATACCATTAGGTCTTCTACATTCAACACGTTTGAGACTAAAAAATTTAATTCCAGGAGATTTGACTCCAGGCTCTGAGTCCGTGCCTACTTCCAATCTATCAACCTATATAATACCTTCTTACAATTGTTTCTTAAAAGTTGTCTCTGGACTCACCAAGTATTTCCAACCTTGCAGAAGGGCATGGTATTTCCTCCTTCAGCCCATTTCAATTGTTCAAGTTGACAATGCTCCATTTTGCTATATCACTATGCACAAAATGACACGGGTCCTAATCACAGCTCAGGTACAGTTTCTTTAATAAGACTTCTGATGAACGAGTCACATGACTATATCACACAAAGGCAAATCCAAACAGGTGCTAATTTCTAGAACTCGAGGTACTTCAGGCGCACAATTTTTTTTCCAGACAATGATTTTTATTGGCTGGGGAAGTACTGTAAAACTCCCTGATTGCAGGCATATACCATATGACCTTAAGAAAACCAAGAGACCATGGCATATTTGCTGCTTTGTAATAAGTTACATGTAGCTAGAAACTAATCGTGCTCTTTAAATTCAGTACTAAAGATTGAAATAGTTGTCTGACAATTAAACAATGCCCTCTAAAGACCATATTTAGTACTTCATAACCCAGGCCTGAGAAAAAGGAACAGGAATGCATTTCCCATTCACCCACACCACACTCTATTAAAATGGGCTATTTGTTACTTACTCATACTCTCCCTCCTGTTGTCATCCTCCTTCAGGATTGACTCCTTCTGGTTGTCCTGGGAAATCTGGCTGGAATTCTCTTTGTCACTGGATGGAGAGTCACAGACACCATCAGACTTTTTCTCAGAAGCCTCCTCATCCAGCTTCTCTAATGGATGTATTTTTACAACTTTCACTGGAAGCATCTTCTTCCCAACCTGAGCAGAAAAACACATCAAGACTGGGCAAGAAATTTGAGCTCATGAGCATTAACACTCGGAGGGGAGGGAAAACAGTATATCCATCCTCCCTCAACATCCCCGCCCCCACCCTGGCTTAACAGCATATTTTTAAGTCATGTTCTCTGAGAATAGTTTCCCCTGCTAAAGGATGAGGATCTCTGTCTACTTTGGCATATTATAAAAGGAAGAATCTCATAGATTCCTCTGGTTTTCATTAATGCAGATTATTTAGCATTCCAGAGGCACATGATGCCATTCAAGACACCCAAGATCAGAAAAGGGGAACTAAACCTAATACAAAATCTCATGCCCCTGCATTGGGCATCTCTCTCCCCTCCTATTTAACAAGTTCAACTTTTCCTTCTTGCTCCTGCCCTATGGAAGGTTTCCTTTGTAAAAACTATTTGAGCTTCTGCCACTGCTCAAGGACTGTCCAAATAGTGAACTGTAAACTACTGCAAGCTGCCACTTTTGATCTAGAATTCCTACTAGGAACATGGTATGGGACGCAGCAGCAGTTAGATGTGACCCACTTCTATGATTCTTTTGTCCAAGTCACTCCTACCTGTTGACACTACCACAAGTCTGCCATGTGCCCCTATTTAAAGAACAGGTTTCCAGATTATTCCTTGAGGAGTGGGTTCTATCAAAGGAATTTCACAAAGAGGGAATGTTCTTACCATCCAATACCACATGTAGATAACCATCATAAGGAGGAGGGGGAACATCACCTATGATCTCCTTTCACTCCTGAGGAGTTACGGCATTGAGCAAAAGCACAGCAATTATTTGAACCCAGGTCCTCACCTCAAAGTCGCACTCTTCACCCACTGCATACTTGGTCATGATCTCCAACCAGGCTGCATCTACCAGCTTTTCCAAAGAGATTGTGTTATGGTGCACCATTTCCAGTACCAATTTTTCATACCAGATGGGGAATTCTTCCTTCAGGCTGAACAAGGACGTGAAAAAAGTTTATATTACCCAGCTAACAAAACAGGAAATGCAATACAATCTCCCGTTTCATGATTCTGAGAACACTGATGGTTAAACTAATGCTTTAATCTGACACCACAGTACAATACATAATGAAAAAGGTCTCTAAGATTTTATCACTGACATACTCACAGGGTTAACATCACAAACTTGTGCATCTGGTCAACAGGGTCATACAATTAATTCCTGTCTTACTGACTATTCTCATCTCCCCATTAAGGGTAAACTATTAAAAAAAATATTTTGAGTTACTGACCAGGAAACATTTTAATTATTATTCGTACCAATTAAATAAGGCTGTTTTAGTCTTAAACATTTGGGCTGGCTTCTGCACTGCTGTAGCATTTATTAGAGTTACTCTCTCCAAAACAGGCATATAAATTCAGAACAAGAAACATCAACATATCATTATCATGTCACTTTTCTTAAAAACAAGTTTTCCCTTCAGTAATATTACAGCCATAATTAAAATTTAACATTTTGTTTCTCCCCACCATGTTAAATCTGTACTCTGACAAAATTCCAGTTTTAAACTTTTGATAATTCAGTTAGTAGGGTAGCTTAACTAAATATTAAAGTACATTAAAAATAACTGGACAGAGCTAAGTATTGCATGTTCCATCCCTTGACACATCCAATACTGCCAAAAGATCCTTAATTAGTGGAGCAAAAAGCTTTATGGTCAAATACAAAGAATGGGTGCAGCAGGTTTGTCTATCCTCTTTTCTTAGAAGGAAACAAGGTCAATAAGTTAGTTGGTACAAATATTCAGATGTTACATACAATTCCTTTTGCTAATGGACCAAAATCAAGTTTGGCTGATTGTTTTATTAAGGGAAGGAAAGTATACCAAGAAAACTTTGATATTTTCAAATTAAAACAATTCTTGTGGACTGAATTCTCACTTACATTGTTACTCATTTCTACTGTTACTATCTCTTGTATTCCTTCATGGGACAAACACTGTCTGATGTGACTATACACATTCAGTTAATGTTTCAAATCTTAGAGCTGTGATTACACAAAGATATCACAGCCCTAAAACAACAAGATTTGTTTTAAATGTCAAATCACATGACAACAGATATTCAGTACAAGGGAAAAAAAACTGTAGCAAACTTGAATTGTTGCAATGCTCTCTCTTATATAACTGAAAACTTTCAGAGGTACAGGAAGTTATTTTATCACTACCTCAAAGAAAGTGAAACAAAGCAAGTATCCTCTGACTCAGCTATTTCAAGATTACTCAGTTATATGTCCAGAAAGATGTTTCCCTATTAGTGAAAAACATTAACTGGAAAAGCTCAGAGACAGCAGTACTTCCCTCTAAGTCTCTGAGGTGCCACCCTGCCCTAGCTTCTACAGGATTTCAGTACTCTAAGACTCTGGGCTCAGTTGGGTAGAAGTGTTAAGAAGGATGCAGTGAAGCATGATATGGAAAAATAGTTACAGACAATTCCTCCTTCGGCCTAGGCCAATCATAAGGCTGAATTCTGTATGCAGTAAACAGAAGTTCTCATAAGACAAATCCAATCTGCCGACATCACCACAAGTGGAATAGGACATTTTTAGAAAAAGGAAGTCACCACTTCATAAATAAAGAAACCTGTTCCCTTTGGCAGGTGGCTAGCTCCCAGTTTTTACTGGGTAGAACAAGGAAGAAATAAGATACTCAAATTAGTTTGGCCACAGACTTGCACCTAAAAAAAGGTTTCTTCACAATGTCAACTTTATACTGGATTCAAATCAGAACTCCAGTCACTGCTCGGAGTGCCTAACAACAAAGGGGATCTTCAGCCTTTTGGAAAACAGACCAGTGATTCTCAACCAGGATGCCAGGGCAACTTGGGGTGCCTTGGGCTGTGAAGAGATGAGCCAGGTGTGAGAATAGACATTCATCCCTGCCTTCCCCTAATGCCTCCCTGCAAGGAGGCAAGCACTGTAATAAATAAGGTCATTTTTTAAATTGGGTGCCTCAATTCACTAAAGTTATAAAGGAGTGCCTTGCACCTGTTACAGGGTGGCCTGTGGATAATTAGGGGTGCCTTCAGTCTAAAAAAGGGTGAGAACCACTGACATAAACAGAGCCTAAAAGAACTCTTTTTGCAGTTTTTTTTTTTCATATTTGTTTGAAGTGGAACAGATCACAAGTACCTTATTCCAAAATATTATTTTACTGAATGCACCAACGTCTGGTTGAGGCCTGCACAGATCATGGTAGTGGGGAAGGAGAGGAGACTTACCGCTGCTGCAGAACTAACTAATATACCCATCACCTCTGTTGAACCTGCCAAAAGCCACTTCTGTTTTGCATTTGTTTTAGACATTATTCTCCGCCACCCTGGAGTGGTAATCTGGAGTACAAGATTTGGCATCTCAAAAACTGCATTAAGGTAACATGAAGAGGCACACTTCTAGAAACACCAATGAAGACTGAGCTACATCAGTGAGAGCACTGCATTGCACAGAGAATATACAAATCCTATCAATGGGGTCCTCAAGAACTAGTCACAACTATTACAACAAGTTTCTTGCTGGACAGCTGGCAGCCATGCACCCTTCCAGACTAAGCCCAGTCTGGAAAGATGGTATAAACGTGGTATGTAAGTTACTTACAGCTCAGCAACTTCCTGCTCCTCCTCCCAGGCTTCTTTGTGCGTCAGCTGGCTGCTTCCTGTGCTTTTACATGTCCATATTCGTTCGTTGTATCTCTCTAACCGCGCCTCGTACTCTCTGGGGGGTCAGCCGCTCAGGAAAACAGAACTCATGGAGCAGACAGCACAACCACTTACAGAATAACCAAATATTATGCAGCCTTTCACCCTTGATTGTACCCAGATCTTGAGCCAATATTGTGCATTAAGATTTGACTGCAAAACTCCAACCTTTGTCACATATGCCATCCTAAATTCTAGAGCTCAGTGTTAACTTGGAAAGCTCTGCTATATTTGAGAAAGAACATAATGAACTTCTGTCCTAATGTTTCAGCAAAGTGATTAAACAGAAAATAAAGAGGTTCTTAACTCCATCCCATAATTCAAGCCTCCTGAATAAAAAACATTTTATTAGAAATTACCAGTTGGCACATTCCCTTGAATTCCCAGTTAGTACAAGTTCACTCATTTCCATTTCAGTTAACATTAGTAGCATCTTCCCACAAGTTATACACCAGGTTCAAATTGTATTTGTTCTGGTCATGGAGTACTGGGAATTATGATGGGAAAATGTAAAGGAGGGGCAAAAACCAATAGATGGCAAGGCCTAAATCAAGCCTAGTTTATAGCTCTTATGAAAAGTGAGTGACCCCAAACAGCATAGTTCAGTGCTCCCTTGGGAGGCAAATTAGTGTTGGAAACCACTTTTAATGCCTTACTTTGACTACACTCAGTTTTTGGATTAAAGTAATTTTTCAAATACTCATGCAAGCATTTTTTTTCCCCAGAGAATCAAAGTCACAACTCTATTAATCCCCATATTGGTGTGAGTTTTTTCACTTTAACCACAACAAACTATAAGCTGTGACACTTAAAAAAAAGTTGCCCATCTTCAATCTGCAGCAACTAGCATCATCCAAGAGGTGAAATTTGGAAGAGATTCACTTTGGGGGAGAATAGTGGCAACCACCTTTAAAGAAAAAATGAGTGCAAAGGAAAAAAGGCTTCTGTAATTTCAAAACTTTTTCCCTTCACTAAAAGTATAGACAAGATCATCATGTACCATTTTTTCATTTTAATGTGTATGTTGTTAGTAAGCATGACAAGTTCCAGAAACTGATCTTTGCTTTTATTTGTATAAATATAAGCTGACTTCAGACGCAAACCCTGACATAAGCTATGAGAAGTGTTTGGTAATCTCAAACATCTGAGCTTTGCCGGTCACCTGGTAGGGAAAGAAAGAAGGCTTCCCCATCTTGAACACAATACTTAGTTTATGTCTGCCCCCTTCCTTCCCTGACGCACACTTTTTCAACTAATGCACAAGCTATTGGCCACAGCTAGAGGCACCAGACTGACTTCAATGCACCTAAACGGTACTAAGAAGCCTCTCAGGTTCGTGACTCATGGGTCTTGCTCACGCACTACATGAAACACTGAATGCACAGTTGTAACTATGCAGGAGGGGTGTACCAATAAAGATTTTTGGGGCCGATACCGATAGCCAATTTTTAAGGAGGCATATTGGCTGATACCAATCCGATTTCCGATACGCAGCTCTTCAGCTTGAAGAGCTGTGTCCAGCTGGTAAGTCTGGTGTGGTGGAAGGGGAGAGCAGATCAAGACCCCTGCAGCGAGGGAGGGAAGGGGGCTGGGCATGACCAGCCGGAGCAGGGAGGGACACAGGACAGGGGGTGGGGGAGGCGTGTGCCCTCCGGATCTACAAGGCGTGGGGTGGCCTGCAGATGCGGGCTGGAGCCAGAGCCGGGGCAGAATGGAGGTGCGGCTCATCTGAGGGGCATGGGAAGGGGCCCCTGCACCAGCCCCAAACCCCTCCACCATGGGGGCCTTGATCTGCCCCTCCACGCTCCTTCCCCCTCCCCTCCACACCACACTAGACTTACCAGCTGCACGCAACTCTCCACGCTGTTAGGCTATGCTCCTTACTGACTACATGCTGCACTGCAGCTGTATGCACACACACACGGGCATTTATTGGACAAATTATTGGCTGCATCAGGCCAGTTTCCAATATAGAAAATTTTCTTTATATCCGTCCGATATCACATCAGCACTGATATATCGGTGCGCTTCTACTACGCAGTCATTTAGTATTTGCATATACCAGTAACCAGAGCTATTTCACAGTAGCGTACCTCCGTGGTTTTTTGGTGACACTGACTATGCTACTGTAGATATGGCCAGGGTCAGTTAAGATGATCACTAGAGTTCGGTAAGGAAGGAACTTTCCCCCAGGTCAGATTAACAAGCATCACCATTAGATATTTGCCTTCCCTCTGTAACGTTTGGGTGTCATCACTTCCTGAGACTATCTGAGCAAATGTTACTTGAATTCTGTATTGGCAGTACCCTTCTCTCCCACCTTCCTCCTGGAGCACACTGAAATTTATTTTTTTTAGATGGATGTGACTGTGGGGTGCAAGCAATACTGAAGTAGATGATCCTACAGACCTTTTTGGACAAACAGCTTTTGTGAATGCAGGGGACTGGGACCAATGGCTCAAGAAGCCCCATTTAGTTCTAGATCCCTACATTTCCCCACCCCCCCAATGAAGCATCAGATAACCATTCTGGTGTGATATTGATCAGCTCTCTAGCAATGCTCAGCAAAGAACTGAGAACCCAATCTGACAGAGCCCAAAACTGCAACTATTGAACTAAAGCCTTGCCTACATCTTTCTAGCAAGAACAGTGCTTAAATGAATCTCAAGCCCTCAATGTAGACAGAAGCCCAAACATACAAAATCAATTGCCCTAAGCCCTGATCCAACACACCACCAGCAAAATGCATACTATTTGAAAAAAAGTGTCCAGAGGAGCCATAGTACTGCCAAAGAGCTGCTCTAGCTGGTAAAATGTTGTGACCATGGATGGAACGGAATGGATGGAATGGAATACGCATTCTAAACATGACAGTGCTTAAGAAACTGGTAAGCTGCACTGCATATATGACTGAAGAACAGAGTTAAAAGAACTGTTTCACTGCCACACAACATACTGGGTCTTTGTTCTCTCCCGACCCATAAAGAGACTCTGCTCCTTCTGCCGGCAGTTCAAAGGAGAACAAGCAAATGCCCAAGTCCCAGTTGATAAAAATTAAAACAAAAAACTCCTCTTAACTTTATTTCCAATATCACCAGAAGAGGCCCAAAGTTTTTCCTCACAAGTTTTCTCCTTGCACTTGCCATCAAGTTTAATTCTGGCATGTCAGAATTTTAGGCCTAAAATTTATCGATGGTGTAATTACAGCCAGCAGGTGCAACAACTCAGCTCATTACAATCCAGAGGGCACCTTCCCACCTCAAACCCAGTTCTCTCAAATGCAACTTAACTCCAAACTACAGCTGGTCAGCTCTCATCAACACCGACCCCTGACCACATTCCTTAACTTGCATTCTAGCTGCATGTTCAGAAAGGCCTTTCATTACCTCCGACCTTCTTTGTGATACTAGTGAACCCCCAAAACTGTATAGTGCTTTGTAGTTCAAGGGCACAACCCAGAAAAACAGTAAGTCACAGCAGAGCTTCCTGTATGTTAAGCCATTCAGTTGCATGAACTCTGTTTAGCACTTTCCATTAAAACTGAGAAGAGATCCAACATATCTCCAATTTCAAGTCACCTCACAGGTCAGATCCAGGACTGGGGGAAAGATCCTGTTACTGTGTCCTCACCAACTGCTTTGTTTACCAACACCATTCAGTTCACTGCTAGTTGGATCATTAAAGCCTGTGGAAATGGGAACAATAAAAATACACCCCAGAACACCAGCTACTGGTAAAAATGTAAGAACTGCCAGAAAGAACATCCAAGTTCGATTTACCATATGGCCACCACTTTGAACAAACTGCTAGATTAAAGAACACTCAAATATGAAAAAGTGAAACCTAAATAAAAACAAACCAAACCACAAAACAATCCTTTTGAAAATGATTTAATCTAGAAGTTAAATAATGCATGTAAAACTAATTAGAGCAGATATGCAGCTTATTCATGCTACGAAGCTGCTAAGCATCCCTGTACATGGTATAAACCAGGAAACAGTCTGAAAATAAATTAATTGCTTCCATTTGCATTAACCATGACAGTCATCTCTTACATCACATAACATTCTTAGTACACATGCAACAAATCAACTCTCAAACTGCAAGCAATGTTTCATGTTTGCCATACATACAATACATAAATTTACCGTCTTTTCACTGTGTCTTTGCTCTAAAAAAATAGTTTCTGCTATAAACCTGACAGAAACTCATGTGACGAAGTTTTTGCAAGAAAACTTTATACTGTGCTGCTGCTGTCCATGTTATTTTCCAACCAGTTTAACTGGCTAGGAGTCCATGCTCCTAAATTCTGAAAGCATATCCTTGGCTCGTCTGCAAAACACTACCTCTATCCCTTTGTGAAGCCTTTACCTCTGCCATTTGCTGTGCTACTCTGAAGTATAAGCTGTTGAACATCTTCATTGCATTAGAATACTCCCTGAACAAAGCAGACAAAACAGTAAGAACAGCAAGCATTTCTTTTCCAGGAAAGCAACAATGCTTCCCAAAGAAAACACATATTAACAGGTTAGCTTTGCTCTGAGTAGTCCTTTCTTTTAGCTCCACTAGTTTAAGCCTCATACCGAGCATTTGGCCCAGCACATATCACTTGTAGCTTTGTCACATCTTAACTGGTCATACGTAAAACACCTCCCTGTGGAAGTCACATGACAACAGTTACACAGACCACAGGAAAGGAAGGCAAGGGGCACTTGGCCACAAAGGCTGCAGCCAGACAAGCATGGACACACAGCTTGGGGCACCGCAGACCTGTCTGGGGCACCACACACACAGGCACTCCCTGCACTGCTACCTTGCAATGTGGGGCAGGGGGGCTATGACCCCAGGAGATCCTGGTGTCAAAAAATCGACCTCAAAAAACTGTGGGGCAGCACATTTCCATGCTCATCTGGATGCACCCAAAAGTAGAAAAATTGTCTTTTAACAAGATGTCACACTTTTGACTTAAGACATGTAATGCAGACAGCTCCATTTTCATGGAGTATACAATCTATG